CCTGCCCCACCATCTACTCTGTGCAAGGGGGACATGTACTCTACACACCACAGAAAGAAGTGTGCAGGATAGACATATCTTGTGAGGCAAAGGGGGAAAAGCTGCCACCAAGATGGAGGGCAGAGGTGGAGCAGCTGTCTGCTGACTTTGAACAGACAGACACAAGGGTTATTACAAGCACTAATGTGGAGCTATGCAGTTGAGGGACACTTTGAAAAGAACACTTTAATGGTCAGCCGCTGTGTGCTGGACTGCTCTCTGGTCCTGACACTCTGGGTACTGTTAGGAACTGCATAGTGCTTGCTACACATTTATAACTACTGAAGCTATGAATTATGCAGTGCTTGCTTTACTGTTATACATACGACTGGGTGTTTTCTTGAACCTATGAGTTAGGTGGTGCTGTACATTTGAGTGATCTGAGTACTGCAATGCATTCTGCAATATGTGTTGTGAACTAATAAAGAAGTGGCTCAGCACCAGATTGATTATGGTATGCCTGGCACAATTCCTTTGTTTCACATGGCACTGCTACTCATCCCCGTTGTACCCCTTTTGCCTGCATCCCCTGTGCAATCTGTTTGTAGATGTCCACATTTCTATGGCTTGTCTATAGCTGTGTGTGCATAGCCTCTTCTCCACACAGGCCCAGGAGATCTAGTACCACCTGTCTACTCCATGCAGGAGTGCATTCTGTGGATGGAGCCAGCATGGTCAATTACACCAACAAGGGAGAGCTGCTAAGCATTCTTGCAAAGCTAGACAAACAGAAAAAAGCATTTAAAAAATACACCGAGTGTTTTTAAGGGGGAGGCAGGCATGGCTTTGGTCTGTGTGACCCTGGGCACTGCAGTCCACAATTATGACCAGAGGGGTAAGCTGCTAGATGACTGTTAGGGTCGACACAAGTCACGCAGTATCTACATTTGTAGTGTTAACCTCAGCAGGTCAACCACGGCTCCATGCCATTTGGGAGGTGATTTCACTGCATGCTTACCTGGGCTGGAGACAAAGCTAAATGTTTTGGGCGGTAGATATCGTAGGAAGGGGTAGGTTGTGCCTTCCCAAACAGCCTAGCGTGGTCCCTCCCACAGCACTCTGCCTTGGCTGGCCCAGGCTGGCTGACCTGCCTCCCACAGGGAGTCAGGGCGGCTGGTGCTGGGGCCGTGCCATCCGGAGCACTGGGGTTGGCCACCCCGCCTGGCTGCCCAAAGCACCGGTGCTGGGAGTGGGCTGGCCACGCTGCCATGTCGTCTGGAGCACCGGGGCTGGGAGTGCTGCCGTATGGCGGATCAGGGCTGGCCGCGCCACCCTGTCGTCCAGAGCACTGGGGCTGGGACCTTGCCTCCTGGCTGTCCGGTGCTGGGGCCAGGGGCCATGGTGGGGATGCTCTGGGCTCCTGTGGAGGAGGCAGATAGGGTGGGGTGGGGCATTGGGCACAAGTGGAGGGGCCACGGGCTAGCCTCCCCCAATGGCCGGGTCACCAGCAGCCCATATATTGCAAGTAGGGTGACCAGACAGCAAGTGTGAAAAGTCGGGACAGGGGGTGGTGGGTAATAGGAGCCTATATAAGAAAAAGACCCAAAAATCAGGACTGTTCCTATAAAATCGGGACATCTGGTCATCCTAATTGCAAGGCAACCTCCAGCCATGTAACTACACAGCGTAGAGCAGGCCTAAACCAGAGGTTACCACTTTAACTCTCCCAGGCTCACCAACACTGCTCCAGGTAGGCTGACCATATTTCCTTATGCTGAATATGGGACATCTGGTAAAATTACTCATATTCAAGTGAGTTCAATGGCAATCAATCGTACAAACATTCAAATGAACATCAAGTTGACTGAGCCCGTTAAAAAGAAATACTGTGCAGTTGGATCCTTTTTATTTACCTTCTTATCTTTAAGGCTTTAGGGTTCACACAGAGAGAGGTGACACACACACCCTAACCTAGGATTACCATACGTCCGGATTTTCCCGGACATGTCCGGCTTTTTGGTCCTCAAATCCCTGTCCGGGAGGAATTTCCAAAAAGCCGGACATGTCCAGGAAAATAGGGAGGCAAGGTAAGGGGACCGCCTCCTCCCCGGGCTCCAACTTTCCCGGCTCCCGCTGCTCTCCACCGCACGCTGGGGCTGAAGCAACTTCCCCAGCGCAGCGGCAGCCGGAGCCCGGGGAGGAGGCGGCTGCGCGCTCGGATGCCGCCCGCCGCCTCTGTGCCCCTGCAGATCGGGGGAGTTGTTAGTTTTGCTGCAGCCACTCCACTTGGGCAAAAGACGCTTGGGGGACCCTGAGTGCGAGTGGAGTGGCTGCAGCAAAACTAACAACTCCCCCAATCTGCAGGGGCACAGAGGCGGCGGGCGGCATCCGAGCGCGCACCAACCTCCTCCCCGGGCTCCAACTTTCCTGGCTCCCGCCGCTTTCCACCACGGCGGGGGCTGAAGCAACTTCCCCAGCGCAGCAGCAGCCGGGGGGCGGGAGGGAGGAGGGGGAATGCGGGGTGCTCAGGGGAGGGGGCGGAGTTGGGGCGGGGTGCTCAGGGGAAGAGGCGGATTTGGGGCGGGGGCGGGGAAGGGGCGGAGTTGGGGTGGGGCCAAGGCCCCGTGGAGTGTCCTCTTTTTGCAGTATTGAAATATGGTAACCCTACCCTAACCCCCCCACCCCCCACACACACGGGGAGGGATGACACACACACACTCCTGTACACCTCTCTCATGGGGGCGGGGGGGGGGGGGGGGATGTGTGTGACCAACTGACCTGACCCTCCCTGCCCGGCACTCTCCGCCCTCCATGCCTGGCTGGACCCCGGGATGAACCCGCCTCTCCTGGTGCCTGCCACTGTGTCTTGCCGAGGCAACACATGGGATGGAGGATGCAGGGTCACATGCCCCCCCCCCTCAATTTCTGCCAGTGTTCACACCAGAACGTGGCCAGCAGCAGCCTTTCAGTACTGTGCAAGAGGGAAGGGAAGGGAGCTGCTTCCAGCTGCAGGGGAGCAGGGGGGAAGGCATGACCTGGCCTGTGTCTTTGCAGAGCTCAACTCTTCCCTACCCCCCACCACTCCCATGTGGCTGGAAGCAGCTTGTCTGTTTCTTCCCGCACAGTGTCGAAAGGCAGCTAACACTTCTATGCTGCTGCTGGCCACTGACATAACCCAGCCACCTCCTGTCCCTGGCTACAGTGCGGGCAGGAAGGGGTTAAGCCCTAAGGATGCATTGTGCACCAGGGTCCAGGGAACCTGACTGCGGGGGCTTCAGCGAACCCGGCAAGAGAGGTGGCTCAGCAGAGGAGGGTGCCTAGGGGACGGAGCAGCCTGTGCTCCTTGAGGACAGAGAGAGAGAGAGAGAGCGTGTGTGTGTGTGTGTGTGTGTGCGCGTGTGCGTGTGTGACGCCCTGCCCCAGGTGCTGTTGTGGAGCCTGCAGTTGTGGGCAGTGAACAGGCTGGAAATCGGTTCCCCTTCCCACCCACTCCAGAGCTTGGCTGAAAGGCGGAGAAGCTTCCCCATGCCAGTACTGTGTGTGGCTTTGGCACATGCAGGGCTCGGGTTGGGAGGGTGGTGAAGAGGCAAAGCAGGGAGAGGCCAGTGAGAGGTGAAGCACATAAAGAGCCAATAGGTGGGCAGCAGCGGCGACACATAACCGGCTGCCGCCTAGCGCCTGCCCACTCACCAGCCACCGCAGCTCACAAAAAGCAGCCAGTGCCAGCCAGAAAAAGGACAGGGGGGCAGGGCCCTGCTGGCCGAGAGCCAGCACACAGTCACAGCGGGGGCTGAGCTGACAGACCAGCAGGGGGAGCAGCCAGCCCTGCGCACTGCATCTCCCCACACACACACCAGCCTTGCACACCCACCCCTATCATCTGCCATGGGACCCCCCCCACACACACACTCACTACTTGTGGGTGGGCAGCTGGCGAGAAAGGATTCAGCCGGCAGCAGGACCCGCCAGTACTGATGGGGGGGAAGCAGACAATACGGGACAATTTGCCTGTTTTTAAGAAAAAGTTGGTACGCATGCAGGAGATCTTAAATATGGGATTGTCTCTTTAAAAACGGGAAATCTGGTCCCCCTAGCCCAGGAGTTCTCAAACTGGGGGTCAGGACCCCTCAGGGAGTCACGAGGTTATAACATGGGGGGGTCCGTGAGCTGTCAGCCTCCATCCTAAACCCCACTTTGCCTCCAGCATTTATAATGGTGTTAAATATATAAAAAAGTGTTTTTAATTTTTAAGAGGGGGTCGCACTCAGAGACTTGCTATGTGAAAACGGTCACCAGTAAAAAACATTTGAGAGCCACTGCCCTAGCCTAGCTCCAGGGTGGAGGCTGTCCTAGCACTATGAAGTTGCTTTATGAGGGTGTAGCTTTCCCGGAGGGGACAGTGCTGGTGTCCCTGCTACCACACCAGGGCTTTCACTCACTGACTGGGATGAAAAAAATCACACCCGACAGAGGGACACCTGGTGCAGGTCCCTGGGCTCCCCCTCACTGCGAGGGGCTAAGGAACAACCCCTGGCAGAGGAAGGGAAGGGGAGGGGGTGGCTGGGTGAGTTCAAACGAGACATTCACACTCTCGCTCCCCACTAGCGGTGCGGCTTGAAGTAAGACTAACAAACACCAACTACACGGTGTCCATCAGCAGCACCCGCCCTGTAAACATTGTTCCAGCAGCAGCAGCCCTGGTGAGCACTGCGTGATACGCGCCCGCCCGCCCGGAGCCCTGCCTACGCCGGAGGAGCGCCTGTGGCAGCAGCACAGCCCTCCCCTCGCCTTGCTCCACGGCCCCGTCCCTGCGCGCTGGTGGGCCGGGGCCTGCTCGCTCACGCTCCGCGACCGGCGCAGACAGCGCGCTCCCGGCGGCTGCCTTCCCTCCCCGCCCTCCCTGCCGCGGGGCAGCCGAGCGCCCGAAGCCCCGCCCCCAACAGCCCGTCTCCAGGCAACAGCGGTGGGTAGCGTCACTTCCTCCTTCCTCGCACGGCCTCCCCCGCGGCCCTGGGGCTCCTGCGGGGCTCGGATTGTTGTGGCCGGGGCCGCCCGTGACACGTGGTGCCGCAGCCGCTGCTGCCGCCGGGGAAGCCCCGCTCGCTGGAGTGCGGGCAGCAGCATGGCCGCTCTGGCCGAGGCGGTGAGCAGCAGCAGCGCGGGTTGCCCGGCGGCAGGCGGCGGCAGCAGCAGCCGGCACGAGAAGAGCCTGGGGCTCCTCACCACCAAGTTCGTGTCGCTGCTGCAGGAGGCCAAGGACGGCGTGCTGGACCTGAAAGCGGTGCGTGCGCGGCGCGGGGCGGGGCAGGGCCGGGTCTGCCTGGGCGCGGGGTGGTCGGGTCTGGAGGAAAGCCCCTGCGGGGATGGGGGCTGCATGGGGGGTCGGATCAGTAGGGGGTTCCTGGGCTAGGCTGGGATCTGGAAGGGGCTGAGGAGGGGGAGGTCGGACCTGTGTAGTATGCGGGCTGTGTGTGACTGTGAATGTGAAGGAATGGTTGCTTGTCCCTGCGTGGGTGGGCCCACCTGTAAATTGGAGTGTCTCTGGGGGAGGACCCGGTTTGTGAGAGGGGGTCTCCCTGTGTGTGGTGGATCTGGGTGGTCTTTGCAGTGGAGATGGCCCAGAGTTGGGGTGGATACGGAGCTGAACATCATTGGAGGGGCGTAATATGTTTTGGGGTGGGGAGTCTGGCGCTGGTCTCTGTATAGGGGGCCTAACATGGGAAAAGACATGGGGGGGGGGATCTGGAGCTGAAAGTGGCGTGTGTGTATGTGTGTGTGAGAGAGAGAATAGACAGGCTTCTTTCTCTTTCTCATGCTCTATTTCCCATAGTCCTATACAAACAATAACTCTCCCCCCCACCCATTCACTTTCCAGAGAGAAACTAAAAGGTGTATTATGACTGAGAAAGGAGTCTTGGAGGGAAAGGGTTGCAGTTGGCAGGGCCTGGAACATGAGTAGGATCCTCTCCCAAGGGAGAGTGGAGTCCTGTCAGAGCATGAGTTTTCTTCCTTTCCAGTTCCCCTGCAGTGTAATGGGGCTGGCTTGTAAGTTGCCAAAGTCTGTGGAGCCCCAACCAGTGTCATGAATTACTTGTGACCAAGGCCAGCACAGGTTGCAAAAGAGAACCTTTTCTGCCTGAGAACCAAGCAGAGAGTAAAAGCGCCTATAATAGTGTATCTGTGTCTGGAGGCAGAGAGGACTGGGGGCTGAAGGGGGTTGGAGAGGAGAGAGGCTAGGAGCAGAGGTGGTCTGGGGGCAGACGGGGCTGGAAGCGTGGTGTTCCATCCCTGACCCCAGTGGCCCCCCCCCCCGCCCCAAACATTCCTCAGTGCCCTGCTAAGGGTGTGGCCGTGCCCCACAGTTTGGGGACCACTGGTATAAGGCTTGTGCTGGTCTGTACTTGTAAGGCTTTCTCTGTTGCACTGTTTATTTCAGGGATTGGATGGTCATTTTTTGACCAGCCAAGAGGTTTCAACTTTCCAAGAGACTAAAAGGCTCTCTTAATAGGTACGGAATGGAACAGATTGGGTGAGCACTCAGAGAGACAGATCTCTGCATAAGGTGTAGTCCCAACTTAGCTCAAGAAGGCATGGTGAGGCCTCCTGCCAGATCATGATGAACTGGATCTCTAGTCTCCATAGTTTGGGTGATGTTGTAGAGCACTGGCCACTCTGGGTTTATGTTTATGCATTACTAGTGCTTCTAACTTCCATTTTTAGAAAAAAAGCAGTTTGTGTATCTCATTTGTTTTGGAGTTATTTTAATGGAAGCACTTGTGGGATGGCTGAAATTTAATCAGCAAGTACAGATATAGCATTCAGAACTTGTGTGACTTAAACATATGTTCACAGAAACCTCAGAAAAGCAGTTATTGGCATCCTTTCTTCAGGAACTGAAGAAGGACTAAAGTTTCCTTGCCTGTTTTCTACCTTTGACAGACAGAGACACTGGAAAGTTTTGTGTAAAAGGAAGAGCCTATTCTGTACATTACATCCTCCATTGGAAATTGGGGAATGTAGTGTGATACATTTTAATATTATGTTGTACTTGCAAACTCTGATTTTGCTGATAGAAAATGACTAGCTTTTGTTTTTTGCATTTGCACAGAAGAAAATCAGATGGCTTCCAGCTAATTCATTTAAAAATGTATTAACTTTTTTAAAGTAATATCCAAGATTACCTTAACTGAAACAGTTAAGGTAAACATTTTTTCCTTTTGGTTTGCTCACATTGTGCATTTGACAGCAATGTGTATTGTTACTTTCACTATCTCCCTATATAAACAGTTTTTTCCTTGTTGAAAAGATCCTTAAATGTCAATAGAGGAGCAGAAAAACAGGTAATTTTAATAAACAAAAGGACTTTTAAACAATACAAAACAAAACTTTTCAGGACATACTATTTCAATGGAGCTCAATCAGAAATGTAAAAATATTCAGTTTCAAAGTTGATAGTATCCTTTTAACACATTTCAGCACTTGTTCAGGCTATAAATTATGAGCGTCCCAAATTGAAGTGATTTCGAAATTGTGTGACATAAAGTAGTAGTCTTGATACCCAATCAGATGTATCCAACTAGCGACAGAGATCTCATATTTGAAGTTTGTCAGAGATCCTTGATTTAACTGTACCACAAAGAAGTTGTCTGTTGCGTGATGCTTTGGTGGCCAAGAGGTTGTGTTTGGTAAGGTCTTTTAAACTGTTTAGTGTTTGAAGTAGCCTGGAGACTACTTACTGAAGAAAATCTTCACAGAAGGAAGAAGCAGGGTGTTCAGACATCAAATCTTGATTCCACTGAAGTCAGTAACAGAATTTTAGTGGAAGCAGGATTTATCCCTACAGTCAGGTGGGCACCCAAGAACTATTGATGATAGAAAATTCATATTACCTACAGATTAATCTCTTGAAAAAGGATGAATAATTTTGCCCAAACTGTCCTAATTACATAATTTATTTGCAATGTTGTTGTAGCCGTGTTGGCTCCAGGATATTAGAGAGACAAGGTCAGTGAGATAATATTTTTGTATTGGACCAACTTCTGTTGGTGAAAGAGACAAGCTTTCGAGCTATGCAGAGTTCTTCTTCAGGATCTTTCACCAACAGAAATTGGTCCAATGAAAAAATATTACCTTAGCCACTTTTTCTCTAATTAGGAAATAACATGTACAGTGAAAATGAATTTTGGCCAATTGACTGAGATCTCATATACTGTTTTTAGTGCAAAATACAATAGAGGTTAGCTTGAAAATTTTGTTTTCCCATACAATTAATAATAAACACCAACTGTTCTTATTGGAGGAGAAAATATACTTTTTCTTAGTGTTTAGTATTGTGCATCAGCATTGGTATAGATTAGAAACGCTAATGACTAAAGTGGTGGGTCTGACATGAAAATGAAACTTTTCCAAGGAAGCTTGGAGGGAAGCCAGAATATATTAGGACTGTCCCAGATTATACCACAGACTTCCTATGTGATCCTGGACAAGTCAGTAAGCCTTTTTGTGCTTTAACTTTTTCATCTGTAAAATGAGCATAGAACATCCCTGCCTCAAGGGCTGCTGTGAAGTTTACTTGATTATCTGTCATGAACTTTGGTATCCTCTGAGACAGTTTGAGAAGTAGAAATTACAGTCAGTAATGATGGTTCCAGAGATGATGGAGCAAATGGAGATTTGTTTTGAACACTGCAATATATTTCCATTATGGCCCATAATGGCTCCCCAAAACTATTAGGGTTAATTTATTTAGTATTTATGATTCTCATCAGCATAGTATCTATGAATCTGTCTACATATTAAAGTTATTCTAGAATAAAGTAGATTAGGAATTTAAAGCAGAATAACTATTTTGGCATAACTCCATGTGTGGACACTCTTATTCCTGAATAAGTGTGTCCACACATAGAGTTCTTCCACAGTAGATATCCTGAATAACTCCATGTGTAGACAAGTCCTGAGTTGTCTGTATGTTGTCCACTTTTTCATGGGTATGTAGGATCTCTCAGTGGCATGATAGTATAGTAGTAGTGATGATTGATATTTAAAACTTTGTCTGTTTTTACCCAGAAAAGCAAAGAAAATTTGAGTGAAGAATGAAAATTAAGGCTCAGGTTTAAATCTTTCTACTTCCTTCACTCCATCCTGGCAGGTTCTCTAGGTTTAAATCAGAAACTGTTTTCTTACATATTTTGTTTGCTGAGCTGTTAAGTATGAGTAGAAGATGGTGGTAAACTTTATTAAAGCACAGTCTGTACGGAATAAATGTTTAGTACTTTCATGACCAATCAAACTGAACAACTGTTTAGCCCAATATCTACTGTAAAGCAGTTACACATGTCTCAATTAAGAAAGGTAGAAACCAAGTTGCATACCATAGCTACATTTTCAGGGAGTTACAGAATTTCTGTAGGCAGGTGGCTCATCAATTTTAGTTCCAGTAGCAGGCATCTTTATAAGGCCAGGGGTTCCACATCTTAGAGAGACATTGCCTTGTGAACCGCCTATCCTCCCATTCAAAATCACTTACCATTTCTGTAACACTTCTGTGACACCTACAGCAGTTGTTTACATGGAAAATAATACTTAGAAGGCATTAAATAAATGTGTTTTTAGCTTCCTGATTTAGCAGTAGAATATGAAGAGGAAGAGGAGCTGGCCATCTACCCGTAGTCCACTAGCAAGTGCCCTGGTGCTTCACGGACTAAAGCTTGAAAATCACTGTTAAAACAGGCTGTGGGATTATGATTTGGGCATGTGATACTGCACAGTTGTTGTCTTGTCATTCTTTTTCCTTCTTCCACCCCCATTAGGTTCTGGTGCACTGTCCCATAAGTGGTCACTAGCAGCAGTTCTCTCTTTAGATGGCTCTGGATGCCTGTCATTGGCAATGATTCTAGCATTAGACACATACCTTGTTAACATTTAGAGGTAGATGGACTGTGGGAGGAGAACTGGGAGTTTGTCTACACTTCAAAATTAATTTGGATTAAAGGAGGGTGTGAATTTAAAATGCAACAGTTATTTTTTAGTCGTTGCATGTGTGGACATTCTTATTCCAGAATAATGTCCATCCCCATCCATGAAGTTATTCTGGAATAACTGTGTGGGTAGACAAGCCTGGTCAAGGAGATGAAATAAAATTATCAGTGAAGAAGTGAGAAGGGAAGAGATCAGAAAGATGAGGAGAGAAAGGAGGCTCCAAAACAAAAAAAAATCCCACTGGAAAAGTAGAAACAAGAAAAGAGAGACTAAATTAATCACATCAGAAATGGTGCCGCATGT